AAGAAAAAAATAAAACAAGGAATTAAAAGAAAAAAAAAAACAAATGAAAAAATTATAAGGGAAATTAAAACAACAAACCAGGGGGTATTAATGGGTCATGGGACCCACGGTAAGAACGAAGTTCTTTAAATATGAGATGAGTATAGACACACTTTCTCAGGTAACAAGGGGGTTGCCAGACCCACAGGAAGAACAAAGCTCTGTAAACGTTAGTACTGCATTCATGTTATTTACTAAAACAAAAACTTGAAAAACGAATGGAAAAAAAAAAACAATAAGTAGTTTAGTACTCACGATGGTTGAACTTCGTGAGAACGTCGTGCATAAAAATACAGTACTCACGAAGTTCAACCATCGTGAGCACTAAACTACTTATTGTTTTTTTTTTTTTTTTTCCATTCGTATTTCAAGTTTTTGTTTTAGTTACCAACATGCATGCAGTACTAACGTTTACAGAGCTTTGTTTTTACTGTGGGTCTGGCAACCCCCTTGTTACCTGAGAAAGTGTGTCTATACTCATCTCATGGTTAAAGAACTTCGTTCTTACCGTGGGTCCCATGACCCATTAATACCCCCTGGTTTGTTATTTTAATTTCCCTTATAATTTTTTCATATATGTGTTTAGTATTCTGTTATTATTTTTAGAGTCGGCATGGAAATATAACAATTTCGATACTAATTGTTTGAATTAATTATTTTCATTATTTAATGTTGATACGCCCTTAGAATTAAATAAACAATCAGTTTCCTTGACATATTTTGCTAATACAGATTTTTCTCTTTAATACTTAGTCACCTTTGAGTTCGTTAACTCTTGTTTTTAAATATCTAAAAAATGGGCTTGTGTAACGAGTCTCAGAGTTATTATAATTTATTTGATATACAATATTATATCGAGAACTTATACATATTATAAAAACTATTTTAACGTTATTAAAACTTGCAACTATTTTGATCACAAAACAGATTTTTAAAGAACAATAAAGATATTTAATTATTATGATAAATAGTTACTTGACTGGAGACTCGGGTAATAATTATTTTATAAATTCGTTTCTTAACATATTTTTTATGAAGTTATATGGGTAATTATAAGCTAATGATATTTTTTGGTTACTTTTAGATTCTTAGTATAGAATTTACCATTAAATAATATAACACCATAATCCACCAATATGTAAATTATTGCTACTCTGTGTCATTAAGGATCGTGTGAATAAAAATTTAATACCTACTGGAGTGAGTAAGATTTTTCTACAAGTTATTAATGATTTAGTTATCATCTTAAATGATGAGTCACAATTATTTGCTCTTTTAACTGTGTACTTTAAATTATTCCCAAGACAGCTAAAAGTTATCAACGTTTCCTCAATACAAGTAGTGTGGGACTCCCATAGAAAAATAAAAATTTTTTTTTGAAACTTTCTATTACATTGAAAAACAGTAGAGTAAAGTACAATTTATATTCCATTGTAAAACTCTTTGCAAGGTAAATTAATTTTATTGCGTAAGTAGTCACAGACATCTTACATTGAATTTCAAATAATTTTTTCACTAAAATTAGTAAATTAACTAACAACATGATAACTAAAAAGTTTTTAACCCTTTGAAGTAGTGAATAATTCAATTTGCTTTTTAAAATTGGAGCTATTTTTGACAAGTAAGTTACTTTATGGAATGTTTTCAATTGAGAGTTTCGTTTGAAACTTTGATTATTCATAGGTTGGAGAATTTACTACAGAAATTATAATATGTAAGAGATATCCTTTCTTGTGTACTTTGAACATGTCATAACACTTCACTTAATTCGACTTTAATTTTTTAAATAAATTTTTATTTTATTTGAGAAATTCCTTAGTTATAGCAATACTATTCATGATTTTTAAATCATCAAAACTTTGTTTGGAAGTAGAGTTTAAGATATTTTTTTCCTTTCAATCATCGTTAGTGGATAACAATTACAAAATTTGTCAGGCAATAGACTAAATTTTTAAAATTTTAATGTCTTGGATAGAAATAAATTTAAATTGACGCAAGATTACTTCACAATAATTAATAACATTTTTTTCATTTCAGGTTACACACACGATCTGTGGTTAAATCACGAAGAACCTCCAAAATATGCTACGTTACGCTCAGCTTCTGAACTTTCCCAACCTGTGACGACATCATCAACTTCTGGTATCCATCATCAATTAGTTCATGAAAATCATGAACAGGTAGAACAGCTTCACCATCAACAACTACAACCTCAAGAACAACAACAGGTGCTGCTTAGTACACAATCAACTTCAAGATCAGGATCGATTGACATTTTCACTAAGAAAAGCTTGTCTATGTGTTATACAAGTACTGGGTCTGCCTTATCTCTACCTCCCAAAAAAAAAGATATTTATCGACCATACAGCCTTCAATCCAGTGACATACGTACTTCGGCTGAAGAAGATCTTTCTGCAGCTCAGGCAATTCTTGATCTCAGTGCCTCTCCAGCTGCACCTACTAACTCGGTCTTTGTCCATACTCTGTCATTGCCAACTACTACTTTGGTGCAACAAAGTTTATCTACGTCTCACCACCATCAAAATTTACAGCAATCGTTCCATCAGCAGAAGCAACATGAAGAACAACATAAACAAGTATCTATTTCTGTACCCGTTCCGGTTCTTGTTTCAACGCCATCCTCTGAAACTGTTCCTCTACAGGTGTCTCACAAAAACGAAGTTCAGCAACGTTCTCGATCACCTGCTATGTCTGAATCGAATACTCTTAATATAAGTAGTGTTAGCACAAGTAGCTTAAATACTACCGCTGATACGCCAGTTTCTACTTATCCTGTGAATACACGCCCAAAAACAGTTGCCTATACCTATAAAGCATTTTTTGTTTCTGACGGACGTTCTAAGCGACGCTCTGATAGTATGACAGCACCACAAAAAGAAACTTCTACTCCACCTGAACGTCCCAAGTTTACTTGTACTGAGTGTGGTAAACAGTACGCTACTTCTTCAAATTTATCACGACATAAACAAACACATCGAAGTCTAGACTCTCAATCTGCAAAAAAGTGCATACATTGTGGAAAAGCTTATGTGAGCATGCCTGCCTTAGCTATGCACATGTTGACGCATAAGCTTGCTCATAGCTGTGCTGTTTGTGGAAAAATGTTCTCAAGACCATGGCTTCTACAAGGTCATCGACGTAGCCATACAGGCGAAAAGCCTTATGGTTGTGCTCACTGTGGTAAGGCCTTTGCTGATAGGTCAAACCTGCGTGCCCATATGCAAACGCACTCGACTGACAAGAACTATGAATGCTCACGCTGCCATAAAACTTTTGCTTTAAAATCCTACCTCAATAAACACTTGGAGTCTGCTTGTTTAAAAGATGATGATTTAGAGACTAATGAAAGTATAACTAACACATGCCACCAACAAAGACCACAACAAAACCAAGAGCAACAAAATCGGGGATTATAGTACTTACATCCAGGAAAATAGTTAAAAACTTAATAATTTTTTCTTGTCTGACAAAGCATCTTTATTTATAGTTTTAAATAAGGTTCAAAAAAGATGCGGCTATGAAGGCGATTGCTTTGTCCCTCAAAAGACGTACTTTCTTGTAAAATTTTAATGATTGGGTGATACATTCGTAATATTAATTGCTTATGACTAAAAGTCTCTCACGGAAGAAAAAGCGCCTAACAGCTGTGGTGGTTAAATAATAGGCACTAGTAATAATATAGTCAATAATATTGAACTGAATGTCCATTGTAAAAGAAAAAATATGGCAGTGGACAACTGATATACGAATTGCGAATATTCATACATACACAATCGTCTTCACTAAAATAAAAGTTGATCGTAGGTTAAGTAGAAAAGTGCCAGTATCACGTAGATTAGTAAGCTAAATACTATTTGAAAAAACGTCCACTAAGCTTAAGCCGACTAAAAATTAGAATCAACCAAATGTATAAATGGATAAAAGAACTCAAAACAGTTATAGGAGACTTCCTTTGCAATATAGTCAGTCTAGTCAACCACTTTCTAATAATATACATTTTTTTTACATTGGCATCATAAAAAAGTAGTAGTAAGAATTCATTCATAAAAATTAACCTTGCTTTTCATTACTTAATTAGAAAACTACATTACTTTAACTCATATCATGTTTTTGAGTACAATAGACATTTTTATAAGTTACGGTATTTTTATTTTTTATTTTTCTTACTCCAAAATTGCAGCTGAAAACATTATCATAATAATAGATTTCTGCTATAACATTAAAATATTTATGCAACGTATTATCTTTTCATCCAGCACTCAATATTTAGAAACTATAGCACATTTCAGAAACTGCAGTATTACACAGTAACACGCTAGTTCATAAATTAAAGTGTGATATTTTGCCTAAAACACCAATACCAGATATAAGCAGTAACATTATTTTTTGTAGGTTGCATTTTGAAAGAGCGACAAAAAAAGTAGACACGTAATTGGACAGCCTAAAGAATACTTGATAGTATGGTAAATTTTTATAAAAAATTGAGATAAATTTTTTGGATGAAGAAAAATAAAGTTTTTAATAAGAACTGGGCCATATAGAATTTTTCGTATTTATTAAAACTTTTTTATGAAATGTTTAAAGCTCAACGTTGGCAATTCTTCTAAAGAGAACGGTTCAGATTGTCAAAGCTAGTTATTTCCTTTCAATAGTAACCTGCCCATCTTGAGTCTAATTATCAGAAAATAAGCATTGTAAAAATAACAACAACATTTTTTTAAAGTTTCCATTCATTTTATTATCATGCCTTTGTTGTTGCTTCTTCAAATGCATAAAAAAGCTAATACTAGTGTTGATTTAACAGACTACAGCACCGACAGGTACTGGTCTGTCCTTGCCTACTTATCTATAAGATAGTAAGAGTTCTCTCATGTCAAATGCTCATTCATACACAAACTTACATTAAAAATTGAGTATTAAGAATAAGTTTTTTACAAGCAACATAGTTTTTTGTTATTTTTTTCACAAAACTAATTTCAATATTTTACAATTGTTCTTCGAAAAGTTGTAAATACTTTTAAAAAGTAGCAAAAACTTTAGTCCCCTGAAGTAAGCAATAAAAGTAGAGTTTTGAAACAAGTATTGTAAGCTACTTTATCATTAAAACTATTTAAATGGTACAAGTAAGATTTAAAAAATATAGTAACAATAGATACTTCTGTACGTTTGTAAACTACTACAAAATTAAAAAATATTGGCTTTAGCCGGATCTTTTGCTGCTAAAGTTCTTAAACTCATTTACTATGACTAATTACAAATACTTTTTCCTATAAAGTGTAATAGAATTAACACTTTTATCGGCAAATTAAACGTAGCTCAAAAAATTTACGTCGCTAGTTTTTTTGTACTTTCATCAAATTTTATTACTTCCAAACATCTACCCAAATTAGTGAAGGTCCCTCAAAAATCGTAAAAATGCCTAAAACAGGTGTCTGCGTCAAGTGGAGAAACTAAAAATTTACATAAAAAGTAAAATACGAAAAAAGATGTATGATTTTAAGGCAAAGAGAATAAGCTGCGTTAAGCTCAAATCAGTATAGCGGTCTTGTCGCAAGTTACAAAAACCGAGTAACTTGGCAATTTTTTGAAAAATCTACTACTCCTGTTCTAATTAATGATAAAAACTAAATTTTTCCGAAAAATAGTCAAGATACTCATTGTTTCGTAATTTACAATAAAACTGCTTGATGGTTTTAAATAATCGTGGCTCGTTCTCTTTATTTGGGATTGCGTATGATTGTTATTGAAAATCTTTTTTATGTACAATCTTTCGTTTTCTTTTAAGACGGAAAAAACTTAGCTTGACCAATTTCACCATTTTTTGAGGAGCCTTAGCTAAACTTTGTAGGTGTTTGAAAGCACTACAATTTTTAAAAAATGTAAAAAAATAGTAAAAATAGCTTTCGTGTTACTATACTCAACCAAACTTTTAATAGATTTGAAGTCTATTCTATCAGACTGGAACTTATAACTTCAATGAAATGAAAAGCTGAAGCTGAATTCTCACATAGTCTGCTAAACTCATAGAGACTTAATAAAATTTCAAATCATACTTGAAATTTTACAACTAAAACTTATTCTATCGACTAGTAAAATTTAATTCTTATCATCTTAGTTACATAGAATTATCACAATAACTATTATTCCAGAAAAATGAGGTACGATCAATCTTTTGATCACTATCATACACTGATTAAACTACTAGCTTATGTCAAGCATCATTCGCTATCAATTCATTTATATCAACTTGCAAATTATAAAATAAAATTCTTCACACTCTATTATTAATGAATATTTAAATGATAAAGTTTATTTGTTACTAAAATAGAAGAAAACAATTTTTTTTAGTTATTAGGATTATTTTCAAGTATAAACATTTTACATGGCTTGGATTGTTCTGTCTCACAGCCTTAAGTTATTAAAGTAGAAAATCCGTGGACAGTCTTATAGGAGGTCTTATAGGTTATGGCTGTATGCCTTTGTAGTAAAGAAAAAAATACATCATAATTTGAGAGGACTCAAATAGAGTATTAATTTCGATGACTCGTACACTAATTTTTAATAAAAATAGTTTGATTTGTGACGTATGTCTTTAAAGCTGTTGTTGCTGTACCTTAATACAGTCCATATTAAAAAATATATTTCAAACTCAAATATCTCAAAAAATAGTATTGATACATAACCTTTAATGAATTTTCAATAACTTGAAAAGTTTATGTGTAACTTACTTCAGATTCAAAAAACATTTGATTTGTTTTTGCCGATGGATTTTCTACTTAAAGACTTTATAGTATGAGCACCAGAGCAAAAAAGAGAAGAAAGGAGTAGTAATCTTTTATAACAATACGAAATTTGGCTCAAAACGAGAAGAAAAATACATAGAATAATTTTAGAAAGTGTTTACCTCGATGGAGATATGCTGTTGATTATTGCTAAACAACTTGAATATCTGCTTTTCTTAGTTTTCGTTACACATCTAGGTAAGTATTCGCTTTAGAAGAAAATGTTCAACACAAAAGTTATTTATTCAACGATTTCATATATAAATTAGTGGTTAAGAAAAATTAGAAAAATTTTTCAACCGTTCAAAAAAACAAGAAAGACGAGAAACGAAAACAAAATTGAAATGCATAAAAATACACTTTGCAATATTTAAAATTGAATGAAAATCAAGTATGCTACTGATATAATTTTGAAATGACGGCTTATTGTACAATTGTTAATTTAAAATTTTTATTGCTTATAAAATGTGTCAGTGACATAAAGTCATAATATAAGTTTTAATAATCAGTAGGAAATAACAATATCTTTAGTACATTCAAAATTTGATTTGTTTACTCAATAACAAAAAGTTTTAACAAAAAATTGTTGATGGTAACCCGTTTTTTCTCTACTTTTAAACTTGGATGCAAATAACTCAGTAGAAGTAATTTTGCTTAGTTTGATAGAAATTAAAAAAAAACCAGGTGTGGGTCTCGGGACCCCCGTCAGCAGTGAAACTTCCAATTCAAATGTTATAAAAACCGTTATAACAGAAGCTGAGAAAATAAGATTACATCTTATTTTAATATGTCTTTAAAAATACGATATTAAAAAAGTTAAAATTTTATTATTATTATTACGTATTCGAGCACGTAGGTGCATAAAATACATATACTTATGTATTACACATATAAATGTGATTTGCGCATTCTAAGTACTTCCATGTTTGCTACGATATATGTATTAATATATGTACGAATTTTTGGTGATGTAATGCAGAACGGAACAAAAACTTTCACCATAGTGCCCCCAAAAAAAGGGCTTTTGTCCAGTTACGAGGGACAAAAATTCCTTTTATTTGAAATCACTATTCGTACATTTAATATGATATCATGAATAAACAATTAATTCTTGTTAAAATCATTGTATTCGAAAAATTTTTTTGAATTTTGGCTACCTTAAAAGGAAAATAATCCACTCTATCTGATTGAGATTAAGGAAAACAATAGAAATACAGCTATTTTACATTGTAAAATCATAATTTGCCATTTAATTCGTTTTCTATGATTACTTGTAATTTAAGATCAAAATTTACCCGTGCTTATAACTAATTTCTACTAATCTCAACATTAATAACATAAATATAGGTTATGGTCATGGGACAATCATTCTTATAAAACATGATAGAGAATAGCAAATGAATTAATTTATAGCTAGGATATGTAAGATGTAGCCTTGCCTTTGAGATATGATTTATTATTTTTCGAGTTATTATGATTGTTTGTATGAATCCGTGTAACATATATTTTTGCAACTCAATAATTATTTCCTACACGTGGCATTATTTTTGGCCTATCTGGCTTTCCTTTCAAGATATGACTGTTTTTATAATTTTAAGAAATTATATTGTGACAAAAGTTTTTTGTAGATTTTT